TCTTTTAACAGACCCCAATTTCATAAAATAATATAAATATGAATGATATTGTGATAGTTGGGGGGGGGGGGGACTTATGTAGCTAGTGTGCCTAAGTTAATTTTCTCTGCACATCACAGCATGGGTTGGTAAATATTGGTGAAACAATATATATAACATGAGAATGAATAATTATTTGGATATGTGTGTTAGAATTTCAAATTTACTATCAAAAGAATCTCTAAAATTTGAAAGGAAACAAAACTCACTCATATGTAACATGAATTATTTTTGGTTTAAATAGATGATAACCGCTTTCGCGGCATTGTAGTAAAACGGAGTCTAACCTTTCGGTTTTTCCCCGAGTATCGTGTCTCTTGAGGAATGGCGGAGAAGTTTCTTAATTTAATTTTAGTCACGGGCTATCGCTAATCGTTGGAAGCTTTTTCAATATAGGAAAGTGGTTGTGTTCTAAATTATGCCAGTTTATAAGTAAGAGCTAGGATCAATTTAAAGATTAATGTTCAAAAATTAAGTGTTCTAAAGATTGATGCAAATAAGGGCAATGAATTGAGTAATTAGAAATGGATATGTTCTTGGACCTCTTAATTAGGGAAATTAAGACTAAGGTTGGACTAATAATTTCTTTCCTCATAGACAAGAATAGAAACTATCTTCATTAATTTATCCTACTTCTAGGTGTCATTAATGTGTTTAAAATGGTTGGCTTAAATTATATTCTAAACCCATAGACAAGGTAGAAATAATTTTCCAATATTTTAATTAATAAAAATAGCCAAATTCATTAACTAGTTAAACTCTTTATTTTAGCAACTCAATTTATTTCTCATAGACAAGATGTAAATCTTTTTCATTAAATTATCCTATTTCTAGGCCTTATTAATGTGCTCAAATATGTTTGGCTTAAATTAATTTCTAATCTCATAGACAAGTTAGAATTAATTTTCCAAGAATTTAATTAATGAAAATGGCTAACTATTATTAATTACTATTTCATCATTTTAAACAACTAGTCCAATTTATTAATTTTAACCCCTAATTTTAGGTCAACAAGTCAATCCATATTCCTTTTCTCAATTCATGCCCAAAACAAATTTAGCTACTAAACATCATTTTTACAACTAACAATATAATGAGTATATTCAACATTAACAAGGAATTAAACATGGATGATAGCAAAAATTCAAACAAAACTTATATTCTGGGACAATAAAATTATAGGAATTAAAATATAATTTTCTGGAAGTTTTCACGAATTAATAAATTTAAGATCCAATTTTAGCAACTAATTGATGATTTTCCCAATTTTAACTAGAAAATGCAAAAAGCAACTAAAAATACTCTAACTTCGTTATAAATTTTATTTTAACTACTGGTAGTGATATAACAATGAATTAAACTGAAATTAAGGCCGAACTAATTTTTTTTTCCTTTTTTGAGTATTTATTTTAATTTAAGCAATAATATCAAGTAATTACCGAAATTAATTAAAAATAACTTCTACTTCGTGAAAAATAAATTTCGTCAGATAAATAACTACCTAGAGGCTAGTGAACAACTATATAATTAATTGGAATGAATTCAACATCAATAACTATTTTATTTAATTTTTGGAAGGAAATGCGAAATACTTGAAAAATAATCTGGAAATTTTCGAAGAACATATCGAAGAAACAAAGCACAGATTCAGATTCTACACGTTGAGAAGATGAAAATACATATAAAGAACTTACAATTTGGAGCTAAAATGAAGAAGATATGAAGATTTGAAGTTTCTCTCTCTAAGACCTTTGGAGCTCGAAAATGGAAGAAGAAGAAGCCTTTTTAGAACTGATTTAGGGTTAGAGATGGTGTGTTTGAGATGAGGAAAAAGCCTGTTATTTATAGCAGAAAAAATCCCGAAGGCGTCCAAGCAGGCGGCCGCCTTCCGGCAGCATCTGGCCGCCTGCCGTCAAGTCGCCGGCAGACCGACGTGCGCTGGTCTCCGTCAGCCGCAGGCGTCCACTGAGGGCGGCCGCCTTCCCTCAAATCTGGCCGCCTACCGTCTTTTCGCCGGCAGATCGGATCGCGGCGGATCCCGGCCGCCGCAAGCGGTCCAGCAGGCGGCCGCCTGCCGTTCCTGTCTGGCCGCCTGCCGTCGATTCTCACCGGCCGGTGGTTGGTTTCGTACCCTTGTGCCGCAGGCGGCCACCGAGGGCGGCCGCCTTCTTCCTCGTGTCGGCAGCCTTCGGTCTTTTCCTGGTTCCGAGTCAAAGCGAGGTTGACTTTTGATTTTTCCCGCAGGCGGCCAACCAGGCGGCCATTTTGGGCGCCTATTTGGGCGCCTTCTGCCAATTTTGTCTGGTAGTTCCTGCGTTTCCTGCTCTCCAAGATTGTCTTCTGGATCACTTTGATAAAATGCTTACTTCTTCCGGTATGACTTCATTTGTTACTCAAATTGACTCATTTTGTGCTCAATCGACCCGAAATTCCGGCAAATATATTATGAATGTGATTTTCACCTGATTTCATGAAACTTGAACCAAAATATCTAAAATATGCCTTTTCTTTCTATTTTCAATCAAAAATCGCTTAAATTTGATAAGAAAAATAAGTACAGAAATGGACTTATCAATAGATTTGTACTTCCATTTTTTCTTTGGTAAAATAGTTTTAGGGAAAACTGTCAAATAGGTCCTCAAACTTTCATAAAAAGGTCAAATAAGTCCTTATATAGGAAGCTCTGTCCGGCCATCACGATTTGGGGTGGTTCCCGATGGAATTTTTTGATGAAATTTTTTGAGCATCTTATTCATCAAGTCTAGTTTACTCATACCAAATTTCAGCTAAAACTTCAATCAGGAACGTATTCAAATTAATTCTTGAAGATAACTGTGCAGTTAAATGCAGTTAAACGCATTCAGTTAAATTCTTAAATATGGAGTTCTGGGAATTGGGGGAATTGAGGACGAACTGCTGATTGAAGACGAAGCGGAAGCGACGATCGATGAAGTAAAGGTGGAGGAATTTCCGGTTGTTGAGACGATTCTCACGAACAAAGTTATTCGATTTCCGTTCTTCAGGGAGTTCATGGTTGATTTATGGCATCCGGGCAAAGGAATTTCAATATAAGAGATTGGCGAACGGAGGTATCTATTTAAAATTTTCCACTCTGTTGATATGAATCATGTTCTGGATGATGGACCCTGGTTGTTTGATCAGAATTTGATTGTGTTAAAAGCGATTAAACCGGGTGATATCCCATTTAAGGTGTCGCTAGATGAGTTTGAAATCTGGGTACAGGTTCATAACGTGCCGTATAGTTTGAAAATCTGGGAACAACATGAAGGACTGGGAATCATCTGGGTGAATTTGTCACCTGGGATTATAAACAATTTGATAAAAAGAGGGAAGCTTATATGCGTGTAAGAGTCCGTATGAACGTAAACAAAGCCTTAAATATTGGGACTACCCTAAGAAAGAGAACGAGAGAAAGGTACTGGGTAGATTTTAAATATGAGAAGCTCCCTAGTTTCTGTTTTTGTTGTGGAATTATTGGACATGCTGAGAAATTCTGTCCTTTTCTGTACGAAAAAGAGGGACAAACATTGACTAAACCATTTGGGCCGTGGCTAAAAGCGAGTGGACGGAATTTGAAGCCTAATATCGGTAGCAAATTGTTGATTTCGGAGGGGAGTTCATCAGGAGGTGGCAAGAACACAACACGTATGATGAGGTCAGGGCAGGACATGGACCCGGATGAGACAGGAGAGAGCACTCAAGCGGGGATGGGGAAGGCCATGACTTCAGGTGGGACACATGAGGTAGAGAAGACGCATTTGGGAGGATCAGGCCAGGGAGGAAGCTGCAAATTAAGAATGCTATGGTGCTGGACTCCCCAAAAAACGGGGTTGGGGCGGGTGCTGGACCCCAGCCCCGCCAGATGAACTGATACTGGGTTCGGCTTTACTAGCTGAAAAACTTATTTACTCGTTTTGTTTTGCTTTGTTTATTTCCCACGTTTTGGATGCTTGTTTTGTTTTGGTCGTGCTGTGTTTTTCCAGCAAAAAACTCATGAAACTAAGACAGGGGATGAGGAGTCATGTCTGCAAGTCATAAGCTTAGGTAAGCCCAAAGCGGGATTAACGAATTATATGGTTTCTACGGAGGTGATTAATTCCAAGTCTGGTCCTTGGGCGGACGGTAGACAAGAGACTTGTTGTCACTTGGTAACTTGTTTTGATTTGGTCCATTTGGTTATGATTAGTTAAGCCAGGTTCGTTAAAAAAAGAGACTAATCATTAGTAAAGATAACTCATAACGCTAAATGAAGTTCATAACTTTATAAATTAATGATCAATATAAAATAAAAATCATACTTTATGAATGTCTTAAGACATATTTCGAAGAGTAAGTGCCAAGCGTCCATCATACTATCTCCGTTATCTTTTAATTGCAACATTGGACTTTTTGCACTATTCACATATTCTACTTTGACTATATTTTATTAATTAATGTATTATAAATTAAATTTTTAAAAAATATTGTTAATTTTTTCTCATTCTAAATTTTTTAAATATGATTTTTTTAAATTTTCTGCTAATAAGGAATGAAAGATAGCAATGGTCGAACTTGTGTGCTGACAAACGTGAAATGTTGACTGTTGCAATTAAAAGAGAAAGGAGGAAGTATATCCTTTAATATTTTTATTAAAAAGTAAAATAAGCGAAGTATATCGTCCTAAAAACATTTTAGGATATACTTCGTATATATTATCCTAAAAACGTGCATGCATTTTGTAAAAATTGATTTAGTGGACGCGAATATATTTTGATGATTGGATGGATGGGGTGCATGGTTAGGTGCAGCGTGCATGAGTCACAGCAGCAGGTAGACGAAGGGAGATAAGAGATATTATATTCATTCATTAGCTATTTGTACTCTCCACCATTAGTGAGCTAGCGATTTGTATCGGCCATTGGCTACCTATAAGTAACAATGAATTGTTGTTGAATGAGTTTAATTTATTCCTTGATCGAATTGGTAGGTACGTGAGAATCACAATATAATAAGATGAATGCAATGGCAAAGCAAAGAGCTGCTGATCCTCTACTTTGTGTACTCTTCATCATCATTCTGGGAACATGTGGCAGCTGTGTGGCAAGCAGAACCATCTTAACTTTTATCGGGGATCACGGGGGAGCAGGCCTTGGTATTAGCAAGGACGTTGGAGTGGGAGTGGGTGCAGACGTGGGTGCTAAGGTGGGCCTCGGAGGCCGGCTTGGTGGGGACGTGCAGGGTGCAGCTGGTGATCATGGGGCCGGCGGCGGCGGATTAGGCCATGGCGGAGCAGATGCTGGAGCTGGAGCTGGAGTGGGCGCTGGGGTCAATGTCGGGGCCCGAGTTAATGCCAGAGCGCGGGGAGGATTACATGGCGGTGCTGGAGCTGGCGGTGAGGATACCAATTACCATCATCGACGTCACGGAAAGCAATCAACCAGTGGTGATGGAGAAAGCAGCAACATCAGGGGATCCAGATCAACTAGTGATCAGAGCGGAGGACAGTCACGAGGAGACGGAGGATCCACAAGTGCAGCAGGGGAAAATGAAAGAGCTTCAACGAGTTCTGGAGGTGGCAGTGGATCAAGCGGTAGTGCAGGAGGGAGTAGAAGCGCCTCACATTCCGGTGGCAGTGTAGGAGGGAGCGGAAGTACCTCATCTACCGGCGGGAATGCAGGAGGGAGTGGAAGCGCCTCAACTTCCGGCAGTACTGCAGGAGTTAGTGGAAGTGCCTCATCTTCCCATGGCGGGGGAGAAGCGTCGAATGGAGGATCAAGAAGTGGGGGTGGATCCAGCAGCGGCAGTGCCTCTTCTTCGGGTGGCAGTGGGGGGTCCTCGTTTGGAGGATCGAGAAGTGGTGGCGGATCTAGCGAAAGTGCCCACTCGTCTTCTGGCGGCAATGCAAAAGGGAGTGGAAGTGCCTTGACTTCCGGTGGTAGTGCAGGTGGAAGCGGAAGTGCCTCGTCTTCTGATGGTAGTGCAGGAGGAAGTGGAAGCACCTCAACTTCCGGTGGTAGTGGAGGAAGTGGAAGCACCTCGACTTCCGGTGGTAGTGCAGGAAAAAGTGGAAGTGCCTCGTCTTCTGATGGTAGTTCAGGAGGAAGTGGAAGCGCCTCGACTTCCGGTGGAAGTGGAAGCGCCTCAACTTCCAGTGGTAGTGCAGGAGGAAGTGGAAGTGCCTTGTCTTCTGATGGTAGTTCAGGAGGAAGTGGAAGCACCTCGACTTCCGGTGGTAATGCAGGAGGAAGTGGAAGCGCTTCGAATTCCGGTGGTAGTGCAGGAGTAAGTGGAAGTGCGTCGTCTTCTGATGGTGGGGGGTGCAGCATTGAATGGAGGATCACGAAGCGGGGGTGGATCCAGCGGCAGTGCAGGAGGAAGTGGAAGTGCCTCTTCTTCGGGTGGCGGAGGAGGGTCCTCAAGTGGAGGATCGAGAAGTGGCGGCAGCGGTGGAGGAGCGTTGTCCCATGGAGGTGGCAACGGGAGAAGTCAATCTTCAACTTCTGCTGGAGCGTCGTCTAGTGAGGCTGCAGACAACAATGGGGATGTTTCCAGTGGATCAGGCGGAGGAAGAAGTGGAAATGCGGGTGCCGGAGACAGCGGAGGAGAGCAGGCAGCAAGTGGTGGCGGACGCGGGAGAAGTGGAAGTGACGCAGGAGACAACGGGGGAGGAGAGCCCGTTAAATCTAGTGGAAATGACGCCTCTTCGGAAGGAGATTCCTCCCACTCACATAGAAGCCACAGCCCCCGGGGAGGCGGAGGCGGAGGAGCTAATGCCGGCGTTGACGGAGGTGTATCGGTAGGGGGTGGAGCAAACGTCGGTGTAGGTGTGGGGCTCGGTGGCGCAGGGGGTTTGGGAGGAGATGGAGGGATCGGTGGCGGTGATGGAGTAGGTGGGGGTGGTGCGGGCGGTGCGGGAGTGGGGGCGAATGCGGGTGTGGGTGCTGGTGCTAACGTCTTTCTCGGGGGAGGTGTTCACGGAGACGGCTTTGCCGGCGGCGAAGGTGACGGCGAACTCGGCCACTCCACAATTCCTTGATCGATCGATCCACTACTTTTAATTAGTTTTGGTGCTCACTAATTAGCCGCAACGCTCCCTCAATACAAAGGAAAGGAGAGAGGAGTACTTAGCTTCATTAGTTCCTTATTTCATTTCCTTTTTCATCTTCTAAGGCATTCATTCCCCCCAACGGAATTAATAAATACATACAATGTATATATAAATAGGATAATAAATACGTTTTCTTGTCAAAGTCGAGTTTTTTTTTTTTGGATGAGTCAAAGTCGAGTTTATACCCATTAAAAAATAATAGAGCAAAATTTCTCTAAATAGAGTTGTGCAAGTCCTACTGTCAAAAAAAAGAGTTGTGCAAGTCCTATTTTGAAAAGAAAATAGTGTGATTTTATATGTATATATTGGATATTTCCTCATTGTTTATTAATCATCTTTCTTTTGAGAAGCTTTGATTTCACCTTCTTAATAGCCATCATTGCTGTAAACTTTTTGTTGTTACTACGTATTATTTACTCCAATATTATTGTTTAGCAATATATGTCGATGTATTCTCTTACATGTGTAGAGAGCACCCTTTAGAAATTACAAATTACAATTTGAAGTACATATAAGAGAAATATCGGTCGGTTATCGATTAGTTAGTGGACTGGTCGAATTCTTACTCCTACCACGTTTAGAGATATTGACCTAAAATAAGATTAAAATAGGGGTTATGTCTAAAATATTACTAAAAATAGATGTGGACAAAAAAGTGATATTTTTAATGTTCCAAAAAATATGACTAACTAATAACAAAGGGATTGTTATATCCTTACTCCGAATTGACCCGCTACAGTGGTCAAAGGTGCAATGACCAATGTTAACTATTATCACAGTGATCAGTGACAGTGACAGTGACACTTACTCCGTTCACAGTGACCTACCGTGGACTTGAGCCACAATAACTTGATGTGGCCGTCAATTACCCCGCCGCCTTCTCCAGTGACTTACTTGCACTGGTGTTAGTTACTCTATAGGCAGTGACTAACATAAATCGGTTAGAATTACTCCACTTCCACTGACCTGATTTTGAAACAAATTTACAAGTTACACCACCGCTCAATGCAGCCATCAGCTGCCGCCTTGAAGGCAACACAGCCCGGCCACCACGACTGCCCCATACACTTCGCCCTACCCCCACACTCTAATCCTCAACCTCACCTCGTGCTCTGCAAGGCTGCAACCTGCCTTCTCCCCCCCTCCCAGCTCTGACCAACCCAACCAAATCTCCGACCAGCCGAACCACCCATCCCTGATCTTCTCCGACCAACCCCACCCAAAACCGATACGCTCCTCCCAGTCCCTGTTCACCACCACGTGACCCTATCAGCCTAACCCAAAAACTTTAGCCAGCCTACCATATTTGAAACGTAGCCGTCTGCAATCGAGCAGCCGCAGTGAGACTGTACCCTAGCCGTAGTTATCCTCGTCCGTTCAGCACCATTGCCGCTCGCCTGCTGGGATTTGACCAATTCGATCTCATACATAAAGGGAAGAAAAGGATTGGTAGTTGGGACGACAATGTGACGCAAAAGACAATCACATGCGGGCGGCGGCGAAGATGGAGGGGCGGTGGCGACTAAGATAAAAGAGAGAAGGTCACAGACTCCAGAGAGAAGATTGTCACAAATCCGGACGGGTGATTAAAGAATTGAAGCCATCTTCGATGGAGCTTATGTGTTGCAACGATGGTCTGAGCTGTTGAGCGCATCTTCGACAATTGAAGAGGGAGGGAGACAGAAAATGATTTAAGGTTTAGGTGTAAATTAACTTTACATAAGAGGTTATTTTTTACCATCTCTTCTATTTTTAGTCACTTATTTGTCCAACGGGAAGAGCAGTCTTATTTTGGTCAATTATAAGCCCACTAGTAATGCCTTTATGTTAACTCTAAGAACAAGATTTGTTGAACACAAAGTTCATATTCTTTGGAGTCAAATAGTTAAGTAAATGACATCAAAGATTTTTCTAGTGGTTCAAGGAAAAGCTCGTTCCTCTAGTCCACTGTTCCACTAATCTTGTAAAAACGCGTTACAACACTTAGATCCTAGCACTTAAGAAGATCTCCTTGTCTTCTTCAAGCCTAGTAAACTTGTCACCCGGGACGCACTCCCTTGCTTCTTGATGACTGACCTTTTCACCGAGCTTACTTGAAGTATCTCCACTTCATTCTGATTACTTTGGCGCCCTTCTTTTGCAAGAAGATTACTTTGAGAAGTTCAAATATTTTCCTACAATGTACTCCACATAAGACATGTAGATGTAGATCTTGGAGAGGTTGAAGAACTATAACAAACTCTTGGTGAGAGTTGGTTCAAGGATTTGAAATAATATCTTCCAATATCGCGTATGAATTCTTGTGTTGAGTATGAAGTTTTTGCACTCGAGAATTTGCTTGTAGATTTTCATAGTCCATTCCAGTGTTTCGACAATTCTTCGAATTGTATCTTTTATACTGGTAGTGGTGTTTCCGTTGGAGTGTAGAAAACAACTTCTTTAAATGCATATGTTGTAGACTTGACCGGTCAGTTCCAATATTTCCGTCAACTTACTGGATACCACGGTCAATCATGCGCCTTAAATATCTCAACGGATGAGTAGCAATAAATGAATATTTAATGCATTGCACAGTGTTTCTTCTGTCAAGAGGGTCAAAGTCGTTAGATTATATAGGCCTAAAACTATTTTTGAAATTTGGATTCTGGGATGATTACTACTTTTTTATTATGTTACAAGAGATATTGGGTGCATGTCATACTAATGAATTTAGGTCAGTCTGCTTGATTGCTTAAATGTTTATTTTTGTATGTTTTAGGGTGCTTTGAATATATAAATAACAAGTAGGATTAAAAATTGGTTATTTGTTTTCCCAAAAAAGTTGGTTATTTGGTATCATTTGGGGAAACGGTTACCCGTGGATAAACCGATTCCCCGTTGGGGCGGGTACGGTTCAAATAAAAATTATCCGAATGGGTAATGGGGTGGTTTTGGGGCAAACATTTATCCAACGGGGCGGTTCCGGTTTTAGGTGTACCCGTCCCCGATCCGCCCCGTTGCCATCACTACTTGTAACTTCCCCCATCCTGTTGAAATTGTCCTATATTTTCTTTGCGATCCGTCGAACTAGGATTGGCTCGTAGTAAATTTAGTAAAATTTGTGTGATTTGAAGCCATTTTATTTTACGGCATTTGTTAGTAGAGCTATTGACACATAAAATCAGTTTTTTAATAAGTGAACCCTTGTTGATGACGTAATTAGTACTAGTATATGTTATTGCATAGAGTAACGTAAATAATGATGTGCGAAGTGATGTGGCTTACACAAAAATGTATTGAGAGGAATTATTAGTTTGATTAAATATAAAGTAAGGAAAGTGAATGATAATGGTCCGCACACAAAAAGAGGCGAGAATTGATTTTACAATAGAAATAAAGAATAGTAATGGCAATGATAAGAGGGGAGAAAAGAGAGGAAAATGAAAAGGAAGGAAGGAGGTGGGTTCCTTGCACCTAACGTATCTAATCTAATGGTTAGCTTCGTTCGTTCGTTGGGATGGATGGATATATATTTTAATCCATTCATTCTTTTCTTTCTTAAAAGAAAGGATAAGAACGAAGCGGTGGACTTCCCCGGCCATATACCCCGCTTCCATCCAATCACACTCTCTATCAATTAGTTTAGTGCACAAAACATACATACAAGTACGGAGTATGTATTTATGTAGCGCTAGCTAGCTCCCACCGCCCGCCCGCCCCAAAATTCCCAAACCTTCCCTCCCCTTCTTTCGTTTTCTTCTTCTTATTGAATATAGTTTGCCCTCAAATCATTTATACAACTTGACTACTTACACTTGTTCTTCCATCCCATTTTTATCAAAATAAATAATTATTCCCCTGGCGATCGATCATCAAGAAGCTAGCATGGTGATTAGATCAGATGTCCGGCCGGCCTCTTTGTTGTCTTAATTGTATGGTATGGTAAGTGATTGGTTTTGGTTTTTGGTGGTGTAGGGGGAGAAGAGATGGCCGGCGTGGCTGAAAGCATTGCTGAAAGAGCGGTTCTTTGTTCAGTGCAAACAACACGTTGATTCCCACAAAAGCGAATGCAATATGTACTGCTTGGATTGCACCAGTGGGGCTCTGTGCTCCCTGTGCTTGGCACACCACCACAAAGACCATAGAGCCATTCAGGTCAGCCATCTCGATCGATGATTTCGATCTGCGATATATTTAATTAATTTGGGTTGTGTGAATTGGAATAATATATATATATGGTGATCGATGAAGCAAGCAGATCAGGAGGTCGTCGTACCACGATGTGATACGGGTGAACGAGATTCAGAAGTATGTGGACATCTGGGGGGTGCAGACGTACATCATCAACAGCGCCAAAGTGGTGTTCCTGAACCACCGCCCGCAGCCGCGGCCGGGGAAAGGCGTCACCAACACCTGCCAAGTCTGTCACCGCACCCTCCTCGACTCCTTCCGTTTCTGCTCCCTCGCCTGCAAGGTCAAGTTCGTCTCTCTACTCATCATCAGCATCATCATCATCATTTGATGATGAGTTCGATCATTAATATATATATAATTTGTTTACAGATTGTTGGAACCTCCCACTCTTTGAGTAGCAGCAGCAGCAGCAGCTGCTGCTTCAGGCCTTGTACGCCACCCCAAACAACAAGTGCGGCGGCGGGCAAGCGGAGGAAGGGCATTCCGCATAGGGCCCCAATGGGAGTCCTCATAATTCATTAATTAATTCATTAATTACTACCCAGCTCAGCCCAGGCCAGCTCTTGTTTTGTTTTGTTTTAACCGTCCAGGCCGGCGCAATGTAATATAAATATACCATCCCTAGTCAGTCACTCACTCTGTAAATATAATATAATGTTGTACATAGTAGATTAACACGCCGCTAGCTAATACAAGCAAGGAATGAAGGAAGGAAGATGTGGAAATATGCAGGGGAATAATAATAATAATAATAATAATAATATATATATGTCTAAATACAAAGTAAGGTACTAAGGTAGACATTTGTTTCGTCTGTTCAAAAATAAACACCTAAATAAATAAAGTTATGTATTGTGTGACTGTGATATGTCAGCTCTGGCGTACTACCTACCTGCACTGTTTTCCCTTTTTATACTCCCTCTTATATCTACAATCTCCGTCCCGTTGCATTGTTGGAAGGTTCTCATACTAAAATGACACAATTATTTAGAAGATAATTAAATAAAGTGTAATGTTTGTAATATTTATTAATTAATTTATCACTTAAGATTGTTAATTGTTTTCTAAAATGGAAATGAGAATATATTACTCCATACTAGTTACTGCCACTATTTATCATTACAAAAAAGAGTAATACTCGTAATAATAATAATAATAAAAACAACAACTTGCAAAAGAAATATGTGGGTGGGTATTTGTTTTGCCTTTTTCGGCTTTCCTTGTCAGCTTTGCACCACACCACAATTCTTTGCTTGCTGTTGCAA